GGGTACAGAGTTTCAGCTTTGCAAGATTGTACAACAAGGTGAATGTACTTAATACTATTGAACTGTACACTTAAAAAGGGTTAAGATGGTAAATTTTATGTTATGTGTATTTTGCAATTAAACATTTTAAAATAAATAAACCGTATTTCTAAATACCAGCAAGTTAGAAAATGAAATGTATAAAAATGTATAATTTGCAATAGCGTAGTACATATGAGGTGCCTAAGAATAAAAATAACAGATATGTAAGATCTCTATAGATAAAATTATAAAACTATTGAGAGACTTTAAACAAATGGAATGCTGTACTATGTTCTCTAATTGGAAGACTCTGTTTTCACATGTCAATTCTCCCCCAAATAAGCTCACAGATTTAATGTACTACCAATCAAAATCCCAACAGGATTTGATTTTCTGTAGAATTTGACAATCTGATTCTACAATTTATATGGAAGCATAAATAGCAACAACACTTCTATGAGGGTACTTCAAAAAGTTCATAGAAAAATAGTATTAAAAGATAACATGAGTCTTTTCATAAGTTTTTTGTTTTTGGCAGCTCGACAGCATAGGGAAGCAAACCCTTAGGACACCATGCTCTAGCCAACTGAGCTAACCGACCAGCCCTCCATAAACATTTAGAAGTACCCTCGTATGTGCCAGGTGCTTTTTAACTGCTTTATAAATATTAACCTTTTTATTCCTAATGAAAACCCTAGGAGGCAGGTAGTATATTATTCCTATTTTTGAGAAGAGGAAACTTCAGGGCCCATGCTCTTAACCACGCCTCTATACTGAATCATCACGATACTCTTGAAGTCAGACAAGCTGGTAGGGCCTGCAGCCCCAGAGGCCAGGACTTATTATGAAGCTGTAGTCACTACGGGACTCTGTGGTCTGGGCACGGGAACAGACAGCCAACCAATGGAACAGAACACAGCCAGCAACTGACCCAAGCACAGAGGGGTCCTTGTCCCACTGCTAAGGAAGAAGCCCTGCAGATGTGGAGGGAGGGACAGACTTCTTCATAGAGGGGGCTGAGAAAACTGGTTAATCATGTAGAAAACATTAAATTGCATTTCCACCTTCACCTGATACAAAAATCAATTCTAGGTTGATAAAAGACCTAAATGCAAAAGGCAGATCTAGAGAGCTTTCCAATTTGACACAGGAGAATAGCCTCAGGGTAGGAAAGGGGTTCTTAAATGAGATATCAAACTATAAAAAGGAAAATATTTATAAATTCTAGTACATTAAGAACATCTGTTAATCAAAAAACACCATACAGGGCCGGCCCGGTGGCGCACTGGATAGTGCGCCGCTTGGGAAGCATGGCAGCGCTCCCACCCGAGGGTTCGGATCCCACATACAGACCGGTTCCCGCTCACTGGCTGAGCGAGGCGCGGGAGCAGCGCTGAGGGTTGCAATCCCGTTGCCGGTCCCGGTCCGGTACGGGGGCAACACTGAGGGTTGCGATCCGTTGCCGGACACGGAAAAAGACAAAAAAAAAAAAAAAAACACCATAAAGAGAGCAAAAAGACAAGCTATAGAATGGGAGAAAAAATTTCGAATACACATATCCACCAAATGACTCATTTTCAAACTATAAGATGATCATTAAGAAGCTTCATAACTCAAAAATCACACGCAAAACACTTGAACAGGAACTTTACAAAAGAAGAAATCCGAATGGCCTTTAAACATAGGGAAATGTGTTCAGCCTCACTAGTAATCAGGAAAATGAAAATTAAAGCTACATGGAGACACCATTTTACGCCCACCAGATCTGTAAAGATAAAAACATTTAACAATGACCAAATGTCAGCAAGAATGCAGAGCGACAGGCTCGGGACCACCGCTGAGGAGCAAAACTTGAAATCACCTTGGAAAACAGGTGGGCAGAATCTACTAGAGTTGAGGCCGTGCATCCTCCAAGACTGTGGTTCTACTCCCAGACTTGTCCCCCAGAGACACTCAAATGTGGGCCAGGAAACAAGCATAAAGTGTCCACTGTAGGGCTCTTTGCAAGAGCCCCGAGCTAGAAACAACCTAAGTGTCCATCACAGGTATCTGGAGAAATCAACTGTGGGCCTCTTCACCTGATGGAATCCTCTACAGCAATGAGGATGAATGAAATATAGCCAGGAGGATGCTGACGACCGTAATGCCCAGTGAGAGGCGAGATCACACACAAGGATTCCATCCACACCCAAAGAGAAGCCAAACCTAAACCATGCTGTTCATGCGTGCAGTAACTGCAGAAAAGCCAGGAAATCGGTGAGCTGAAAGGGAGGCGATGGCTTTTGGACTTGGCTGGTGGTTAGGTGAATATTTTCTTTATAATTATTCATTAACCTGTTTATATACTTCTTAAATGTACATTCTATTTCATCATAAAAAAAAGAAAAAAAAAAGGAGGACCCTTGTACCAGCCAGTCACACACACAAAAAAAGAAAAAATGTGTAGAATAAAATATCAAAAATGTTTTTAAAATATCTTTTGGTTAATAAACTGTTCTTTTAACTTTCTGTATTTTCTAAATTAAAAAAAAAAGACCATGTATTATTCTCAAAAGCAAAGCAAAACAAGAACCACCTTTATTATGAAAAGAAATCCTCCCTAACCCTCTAGGCCTAGCTTGCACTCCACTTTTCAGGAAGCCCTCCTTGACCACCTCATCCTCAGTCCTCTCTTTCCTTTTGCTCCCATGGACAGTCAGTCAGCTGATGAATGTGTTTATTTATTTTGGTTTTTTTGCAGCTGGCCTGTATGGGGATCCAAACACTTGACATTGGTGTTATCAGCACCATGCTCTCTCAAGAGAGCTAACCGGCCAGCCCCCGATGAATGTGTTTACCGGCCTGCTGTGTGGCAGGCCCTTTTTGCTCCCATGGACAGTCAGTCAGCTGATGAATGTGTTTATTTATTTTGTTTTTTTTTCAGCTGGCCTGTATGGGGATCCAAACACTTGACATTGGTGTTATCAGCACCATGCTCTCCCAAGAGAGCTAACCGGCCAGCCCCCGATGAATGTGTTTACTGGCCTGCTGTGTGGCAGGCCCTGTGCTCGATGCTGGGGCGACAGAAAAAGCAAGGCGGTCATGCTCCTGCCTTCAGGGAGCTCACGGGCTGACAGACATGGGCGTTATTTCCGGGGTGAGGTGGACTATAGAGGAGAAGCGGGCATTCTGTAGGCTCTTCAGGAACCTTGGAAGCACGTGCTGCCTTGCATGGCTGCTATTTTTTTAGGTTATCTCCCAAGCAGATTGTAAGTGGGCGCCCAGCCTTTTCATCTGCACTGCAGAGCTGTGCTCAGCAAAGAGGGCCCAAGTGTTCAGGTGGAGAACAACATCAGACAAGTGTCAGCCATCAGGAGGGTGGTGACTGCTGCCTTCATCAGAGTGGCCTTGGACATACCACGTACCCTCTCACTCAGAGAATGAGGAAATAACCACCTACTCCAGGGCTGATGGAGAGCAGATGAACCCACCAAGCCTACCATGAAGTGCCCAGGACTGAGCCCCTGAGGCTCAGCATTTGGTGGCTGTCCGAATGCCCTGGCCCCCATCTAGTGCGGAGAGCATGTGTCAGGGAGCCTCCACTGTGTGTCCTCTTCCTCCCACTGCCCCGTTGGCTCTGAGCTCAGGGAAGGGGGTCTGGATCTGATGGAGGCTCGCCCCAGACAGGGATGGCCAGCTGCCCCAATACTGCACACGACTTCTCTGAGCTTTCTGTGTTGTGTAGCCTGTGTCCACAAGAAGGAAGACCACGTTGGCTTTGCACATCCCACTGATGCTGTGGTTAGAAGTGGGTAAAAATAAACACACTACATGACTGTACAAGAGAATCGCCTAATGACAAAGTAAGAGGCCCTTTAACATCAGCTGGCTGACCTCTTCATGCTGGGGAACTGATTTTCCTTGCTAGGAATTGACAGTAGGAGATTATCATCGCATGGTCTCCGTTGCAGGTCCTGATCAATACTACCTTGGCCCTTGGCTACACTGAGCCCAGTGCAGACCCAGAGAGGGAGGATGTGCCCGAGCCACGTGGCAACCTGGTATAGAGCCAGGACCCGAACATCCTGGTCCCTCCTGCACACACACGAGCTCTCCACTGCCACACACACCCCCATCACCCAAGGGTAAGATAGGAGACCTGCAGCTATAGGACCAGGTTCTTACCTTGCTCTTCCCCTTCCTGGCCCTGTCACCTGGAGAACGTTAGGGAGCCTCAGCTTTGTTTACACAGCAGGGTGGCTAATGCACTCTGGGTCTGCAGCGGCTCCCGGGGCCACACAGCTGGTGCTCAGCAAGTATGGACCCTCCTCCATCCACTCAGGAAATGCTCCAAACTCTCCCTGTGTAACACGCCTTTCATCCCACCCCAAATGAAGGTCAGGATGCACTGCTTACTCCTGGGATGACCCTCTCAGAGTTTGGCCTTCCTGAAAAACACTTCCTGGAAACGTGTGACTTTCTCCTTTAGTCCCTAGTCTGACTTCAATCAGTGCAGGTCTAGACCTTACATTAAAGGCAGCCCTGAAGCCATCTGACTGTAATCTAGTAGTCTGAACTCAGGAGCAAATCCTGTTTCAAATGTAAGAAAGCAGTTGGCCATATAATTTGAAAGGCCAGTGGGTCCCTTTGCCTGGGCAGCAAGGACCAAGCCTCTCTCCAGTTGGCCACAGAGAAGCGTGGCCCAGGCTATCTCCAGGCAGCCCCCAGGCCCCTGGCCAGATGGGGCATAGCCAGGCCCACAGGTCATGTCCCTCCCCCGCCCCCCACCACCCTCAGCATTCTGGGGGCCTCTCTCTGCTCCCCTCACGGGCCAAGCGCTCTCCACCTGTTCTCCAGGAGAAACCTCTCATCTGGATGGGAAGAGCTGCTCTCCTCTCACCCCGTAAGCTGTAATCAGAGCAGGATGGGAGCCTCTGCCCCAGAGAACAGCCCACAGGTGGATGGTGGGGGCGCAGCCCCACGCTCCTGCTGGGGCTTACTTGGGTTTCTTGACGTCCGTCATCTTGGTGTGCTCTCCAAACTCCCGCTTCAAGAAATCCTCCAGGGGCCCCGACTCATAGGGCCTTGAGCCCCGGAACACCTCATCCTTCATTCGAAAGTAGACACCTCGCATGTAGGCCATGGACTTACCTAGGAGCAAGGGGGTGGGAGCATGGGAGGTGGGGACATGAGGGCCACACACAGAGCCCCCATGGGAAAGCAGCACTCCCGACAGAGGCCTGAGCCCAGGCCAGCTGTGGGGACTGGGGCCAGTATCTGGCAGGAGGCAGCAGGAGGAGACAGTGCATTTACCAGGGGGCTGAGCAAGCCTAAACTTCTGGGCCTTTCTTTGAACTTCCTATACAGGCAGAAACCCCCCTTCTGCATCCCCAAGGCTCTATACCTAATTTTATTCTCAAAATTTTGTATTATTTTCCTTAAAGAAGGGCCCTGGAAGGGTAAAAGCTTATAAAAGCTAGGTCCACCCTGTATGTCACAGAAAAGAAGAAACAGCCCAGTCCCCTGAGCCTGCAGAAGAAGGTCAAGGGGCAGTTGCCCTGTCTGCCTCATGAGACAGTGAGTCCCCGGCCGGGGTGCGCAAGCAGAGGGGTGGCTGGGAGGAGGGCTTCTGCCCGTGCCAGAGCGAGGCAAGGCGACTTCTCAGATCCCTTCCACAGTGGCCGGAGTCTGAAGACCCCAGAAGGCAGAGAATGTCCCCTAAAGAAGGAAGCAGCCCTTTCTCCCTTTCTGCAGGAGAAGCTAGGACTTCCGCCACTCTGTCCCACTCAGGCCTGCCCTGCTCAGACCTTCTGCCCTGCCAGGCCAGAGGCAGCTCCTGAGACAGCTCTTCTCTCACAGAAGACAGAAACAGAAGACCGGAGAGGGGATGAGGACCCCTGAGGCCAGCGGGGAGAGCTGGGCAGCCCGCTGGATACCAAGTCCCGACTCTTCTCCAACTCAGTGGGTGGCCCTCTCCAGTCCTCAGTTTCCCCATCTGCTCACCTCACAGGACTATGGTGAAAATCATCAAAATGAATTGAATACTAGCCAATAAACTGCTGCAGATGACAAAGGTCCCTACAACCTGCTGACTGATGAGCCTCCTCTTGCCAGAGCCCCATGTTCCTGCAGCACCCTGGACTGGCTGGCCATGGCCTCCTCCCACAGCCCAGGAACTACCCAGATGCCTGAAACCACTGTCCCCACCCCCACCCCAACTGGGGCCTCCTAAGGCGGGGTGCACGCCTGATACAGCTCTGCTTCACTAGCACCCAGCACAGGCTTGGCCTGCAGACCCTAATTCTCCACCCCCCACTGGGGGGTCCTCCCCTGGCACCTCCAGGGCTTTGGATCACTTAGGATCCAGATTTGGAATCCGACCAGCACCAGGACAGGGACGCCAGTGAGGGAAGTTGAGGCCAAGGACAACACCCACCTGGGTGTGAGCTGGACCTGATCGCCCTCCCAGTCAGCATCGCGCAGCTTAGACAGCTCCATAGAGGAGACACTGCCTGAGTTGTGATGCTGGCCTGCCCAGCAGAATGTCCTGCAAGCTAGACCCCCTGTCACCTTTGCAAAGCAGCAGTGAAAGGAGGCTGTGTCAGTGGCCTGTGGCCTGGGAAGTGCTGGGCTGGGAGTCTGGGGGACTGACCGTGTTCTACCTAAGCAACCCAGGATGACTTTGGGCCACCACTTCCACCCAGGGCTTAATTTCCTGAGGGTATAATGAAGTGTGCAGACCAGGGCCCCAGTGTTCCGTGACTTGGTGGCTCCTCATCCCTGAGGCTGCCCGCTGCATCCCCCATCGGAACGGTTTTCCCCATGTGCAGCAGCTGTGAGGCCCTGGTGCCGGCTTGCGGGGGCGTGGGGGTAGTGCGTGAGGCAGTCCATACCAAAATGCCACCCACGCCGACAGCACCGCTAGCTCTGCCCTCTGCGATGGGGGCATCAAGCCCACATCCGTCTGCCCAGCCTTTATCTTTAGCTTGAGGGGGCGTGGTGGTAGTGCGTGAGGCAGTCCATACCAAAATGCCACCCACGCCGACAGCACCACTAGCTCTGCCCTCTGCGATGGGGGCATCAAGCCCACATCCGTCTGCCCAGCCTTTATCTTTCCAATCTTGGGCCCCAGCACCTGCAGCCCCCGACAAAAGGCTCACAGGCCCTGCCCTCCCCCACAGCCCCCTTTGTGCAGAGCTCTGGAAATGACCTCGGTCCCCTTTGAGGGCAGGTCTCGACCCCACCCCCCTACCCCCAACCCTCAGGGGTTGTGCTCACTGTGCAGAATGGCCAGGGCCAGGATGCCCCCCGTGCTGGTCCCTGCCACCCAGTCAAAGAGGTCCTTTGTGGCCATGCCTGAGGCCTTCTCAATGGCGATGAGGAGCTGGATAATGACGAGGCCTTTCACACCCCCTCCGTCCAGGCAGAGCAGGTGGTCGTGGCTGCAGTGGGGACAGCAGTGGGAGAGAGGAGGGTCCCATCATAGCCTGCCACTTTACACCCCACCCTTGCTCAGCCTGTGGCCCTTGGGCAGGCCTGCCCTGGAGGAGCTGACATGCCATTGGGCGTGAAGTAGGTAAAGGTGCAACAGAGAAAGGGAAAGGAAGGGCAGACAGAGCAGGCAGGGGTGGCCTCACTGCCCAGGCACCAGTGCAGCCGACACCCATTCAGTCCCCCCGACTCTGGACAGGGAGTTCCCTGAGGGCAGCAACCCGAGTTTGGTCAGTACCAGGTATGCTCCAAACCAGTGCCTGATAAAAGTCTGTTTGAATTACACAAGGCTCGGGGAGAACGGGCTGGCCCCCTACAGCAGGGCCAGGGATGGGTGGCAAGGGGTGTCAGGGCCCTCCACTCAGGGTGGGGGGAGAAGGCGAGGAAGGAACGTCTATGTGCAGGGACTCAGGAGTAGGGGGAGTCACCAGCAGGAGCTCACTTCGTTGACCCAAACCCCTCTGAGGCAGACACTGCAGGCTGTCCTTGTGCACATTTCCAAATGAAGGAAGGAATGACGGTCAGAGGTTCGGTGAGTGGCACAAGGTCACATACGTGGTGGTTGGGCCCAGACTGGGTCTGCTGACTCCTGGGCCACACGCTCTCCACGCACCCTGCATGTCTCCCTGGGTCCTGCCCAGACCAGCCCCAAGGTGGCAGAGCACGTGTCACCTGCCCTCTCTGGTCATGCCCTAGGGAAACGCCTCCAGTCTGTGCTCGCCCCTGGAACCTTTCTCCTGATCTCCTTCCCATCTTTGCACCTCAGCTTGAATGTCACTGAGTGGAAGAAGCCTGCCCTGACACCATGAGGACCAGGACCCTCCAGCCCTGCCTGCCCCACGCCACCGCTACCTGTGGCAGGCACTTATACTCCACAAGCAGACGTTCTCTGTTCACTTGTTTACTCCCCACCCTGCCACTAGAAGCTCCCTGAGGGTAGGGACGGCCACAGGAGGCATCCAATAGTGAGCTGGCAATGAAGGAGGCCTGTGCGTCCTACCTCCAGGGGTCTTTTTCTGGAGCAAGCCCAGAGGGTGGCAGGAGAGACTGCAGTGTGCCAGGGAGGCCAGAGCAAACGAGCATGACTCTCCCGAAGACAGGGAGAGAGATCAACCCAGAGAGTGCAGGCTGAGCTGTGTGGCTCCCAACCCCTGCATGGGGAGGTCCCCCCAGGGATCTCCTGACTCTCAGCCTGGGGCTTGCTGGAGAATGTGTCTCTCTTCCTCTGACTGGCCAGAAGTGCCAGTCTTCCCTCAGGTGCAGCTGACTCACCTTGGCCCCTGCACAGGTGTGTGTGCTGACGGGGCAGGGCGCCTCCAGGGCACACCTATAACAGAGTGGCCACAGAAATGAGTAGAATACGCTAAAGGGACAATGACCTTTCAGGCAAGGAGCATCAGAGTCATTGGTCCAGCTGCTTGGCCCTGGGAGCAGGGGCTGCATCTAATTACAAGAGAAGAGAGCTCTCCCTGCAGGGGCTGGCACTAGGTGTTCAGACCTGAGAAGCCCACGGCAGCAGAAAGGCATGGCTTTGGAAGACATGGACGTGATCTTGAGCAAGTCACTTAACCTCTCAGGGGTCATGTTCTGAATCTACAAAACAAGGTTCCTCATTCATCCCTAGGAAGGCTGTTAGGAGCACGGGAAAGTAAAAAAGAACAAATACATACATGGCATCATGAAAGGGAGGGTGGACAGAGTAATAGTCGGGTGGAAATGCTGGCTGTGAGGCTGGCAGTGATTCTGTGCCTCCAGGGTCTCCTACGATGCACCTCCCCATCACCCACGCCTGCCTCCTACAATGGGCCTGGGTACACGGCAGGCGCGTGGGGAAGCAGCCCACCCCATGACTATGTGGAGGGAGGCGGGTAAGGAAGCCAGCCGGGAGCAGAGGGGAGCAGCTGCTGAGATCTCTCTGCAAAGGGGATAGGGGCCATCGCCCCCTCCCCAAACCATGCCAAGGCCAGGGAGAGAAGCAACAAGACTGCTGCCAGCCCCAGTGTGTCCAAGCTGCATGGCCCAGTGTTAAGCACCATCCCCCTGCACCCCCAGCCTGCACCGGCTATCATTCACAAATGAGCCGCCTCAGTCTCTGTGAACTACAGAACTAGAAGAAGAGCCTCATCGCAGGCTGTGGTGGGGACAAGACAAAAACCCCCAGCCTGTGGGGGCTACCAGTAAAGGCTTCACACATGTGCCTGCCCCCTCTGCCTCCTCCCCCTTGTTCCACTTACGTCCGCTTCTCGTCCCTCATGGAGCTCAGGATGAATGCTGGCTTCCGGGCCCGGGAGATGTGCATGATATCCTGCAGTTCTGTGAGGCACAGGGCAGGGCAGGGCATGCTGGGGCCAGGCTGCCCCAGATCCCTGCCACCCCAGGTGTCCCTAGAGCAAATTGGGGGCTGTGACCCCACCCCCAGCTGAGCTCCAACCCCCACTGCCCCTATCATCTGCTTCCTGCCCCCAGGAAGGGCTCCTTGTCCCAGGATAAAGCCAAGCCAGAGGACACAGGCCTGTCAGGGAGAAACAGGCTGGAGCAATCCCACTGCTCTGAGAAGGGCTTCCACTGTGCCCAGTCAGCTCCCAGACCCCCCTCAATGTCTTCCTCCCAAAACCCTGAAGCATGAACACCCAGAAGTGTCCTGCAGTCTTCAGGTCACAATGTGTTTCTTCGCATCAGAGCAGATGCTGCTGACAACCATCCCGGTGAATGAATTATTATTCCCAATTTAAGATGAGGCTCAAAGAAGTTCTATGACTTGTCCAAGGTCATTTAGCCAAAGGAGCTGAGTCAGGACCCTTGGGGTTAACTCTGTGAATGAAAGATGTCCTAACCAATCTTCAGATGGCCCTTGTCCTGATCCAGGTCAGGAAACCCTCAGTTGCCTCTGGGACAGGGCCACTCATCCATGTCTTCCCGTGTGCCTAAGGCCCACCACCAACCGATTGGCTGCCCTCCTGACAAGGAGCCCAGCCCCCACGTGCCTTCCCAGCAGTGCCACATGCCTCTGACTCTGACAGGCCCTCTGCCCCATGCAAGGAGTCTAGAAGCAGCAGAGCAGAAAAGCCGGCTGCAAAGTGACATCTTCCCTCACCAGGGCAAGAGGCTGCAGAGTGGGCAAGGTAAGCAGGAGACTGGCCAGGAGAGGCAGCGGACAGAGGGCCAGGGAGACGGTGGCAAGGGAGGGTGTGTGAGTCAGGGTATGCGGCTGAGCCAAAGTAAAAGAGGATAGAAGAGCTACAGCTACTGTGGGGCACGGCTGGGCTCTGTGGCCTCTCTGGGCCCAGGATGTTACCCATCTGATGCTGCACCCCAGGCCCACCATCCAGCCTGGCTTGGGTTACTGACTGCCTGTGAAATTGAGAGATAAAGATGGGAGGTGGAGGAGCAGTTCCTTGGGGGTGGGCAGGGGAGACAGAGGTGAAGCCAGAGGACTAGCTAGACCCCTGCTCTGCCTCTCCTGAACCCCAGGCTTGGCTGCGCTGTCCTGGCCATAGGTGCTGCTTCCTCAACAGTTAAGAAAAAGTCTGGCTTGCCAGGGACTGCTTCCTAGCTGCCCTCTGTTCAGGGGACCCAAACAATCTAGGTTGCTGGGTGGGCCAGCCCACAGAAAACCCAGAAAAGGGTCCCGATCTCCTGTGGGGCTGTCTCTATGGGCACCAAGAACGCACTGGGGCAGATGCTGGTTGCCCAGCCACATTCAAAAGCCTATAGATCACCAAGGGGCCAGCAGGGGGGCAAACAGGACTTAGGCCTGACAGAGATTCGCACACTGTGACAAAGTTGAAGCCAGAGGGCTAGGGACTCCAGACCCCCTAACAGCACTCCTTGCTGCCCACCCTGAGCTCCTGGGGACAAGAAGAGGCAGTGAGAGCACCCAATCACAGTGCCACTGGAAATGCCCAGGCCCGAGACTGCGTCTGGGGCATCTGCTCAGGGGCAATGGACTGTGGGACATGAGCCAGGACCTCCTAGGCCTCTGGGATCTATGGGGTGCTGGCTGCCTACAGAGGCTCACAGTCCTGCCCTGTCCTCCCTTGCTCCCTTCAACTACTTCTACCCTGGGGCCCCGTTTCTTTCCAACAGGGCCTGCTCTGATCCAAGGGCCTGGGAAGCAGCTGGGAAGGAGGGACTGTGGAGGGAGAGGCCTACCTAGGTTGTTTAAGCTGATCGGCGGGGGCTGAACTCTTTCCAGGGAGAAGAGGGGGTGATGTGATGTCGTGGAGCCCTGCTCCGCGGGGACCCCCTGCAGGTGTGGGAAGCGGCAGTCGGCCCCCACGGTTCTCAGCAGAGTCAAGAGCGCCTTCCTGGTGACAACTTCTCATGGTTTGGGGAAGGGGAGATTGCACAGGATAGAAATGCTGTCAACATGTAAGTGAGAGGCCTCTCGTTTCCACACATGGTCCCTGTCGCATCTACCAGGCCACCTGGGTATGTGGGGGTACCAGGGGTGCCCCAGAGGCCCCAGCCATCCTGACTGGGAGTACTGACTCTAGTCTGCTCCATCCCAAGCAGCTTCCTGGGGCCAGAGAAGGCACTGGGGGCCAACCACAGGATGTAGGATGAGAAGGTCCATGTTGCCCTGCCTGGTTATCTTGGGAATCCCTTCTTTTCTTCTATACTACACAAGGAAGCAGGGCTCCCACTGCTTTATTCAGTAATTCTGAAAAATGCTGAGTGAATAGTTCCTTTCAGAGTTCAAGGGGGACTAACCATCCGGCCAATGGGCATTTATCCCTATTTAATGGATGGGTTAACTGAAAAGGACAACACAAGGAGCACGCACACACACGATCAGATACACACCCACAGTAACCCCCACAGCTCCCTGAATCCCTCCAGAGGGGGCTCCAGGCTTCTGGTGAGGAGGATCTGCTTTCCCAGCTCTGAAGCCAAGGCCCCTGAGTGAGTGTGCACACCTGCTTATGTGCACAAGGGTGTGCATGGGGCTTGTGCAGTGCAGCGCATGCACCTGCCCTACAGGTGTTCCTGCAAGCGGCTGCATCAGAGATTCCCCAACAGTGGGGAAGAAGGCAGTTCCTGCTGGCTATCCACCCCCACCCCCGCTGGGAGTCTTGGCACCCAGGGGTGGGATGGGGGCTGCACAGAAGCAAACACTGGCTGGGCAAGCCCCTTGGAGGACCTGCACCTCCTGCTCAGGGTCCCTGATCCCAGGGAAAGGAAGCTCCCTCTCTAAGTCCCAGGTGCTCCTGGCCCCTCTGGTCAGGGAGTAGCTGGGAGCGGGTCAGCACCAGAGGCTGACACCTGACAGCTGGAGTCCCTCCTCCTGAGTCCCTGCATACCACCCACACCTGCCTGACTCTGGTCCCAGAGTGCAAAACACATACGTTTGCTGATCTTGGAGGCTAAGAATATAGGAGTCTCCCCAAAGTCATTCGGGGTGTCCACCTCTGCTCCAAACACGATGAGAGCCTTGATCATCTCCACATTGTCTTTCTGTTGGGGATGGGGTGAGGGAAAAATAGGCAACACCTCAGGAAAATGAAGAGAAAAAGGATCCCTGGCTTCCTCTCCCTATCCATCAACTAACTCAGCAGGTCACTCGCCAGTACGGGGAGAAACACTGGAACCCACCTGCTCCCCTGCCCGCAGCCGACCTGCTATTCCAAAGTCTGCAATTTGAAGGCTGGTGCCCTGACAAATGGGCTTAAAAGTAGCCCCAGGTGAAGGTTTAACAACCTAGGCAGACACTGGGGTCAACTTACCCCAGCTCTGCCAGCTCTCCTCAAAGGAAGCAATGCATCCGTGACCCTGCCCCAGGATCCATGGGGACACTGAAGGGTCAGCTGCTGATAGTTTTCAGAAGTATCAGGGAGAGTGTGAGTGAGAACAGGGGAGTCTCTTGCCCATCCAGTCCAGGATGCCCTTTCCTTGGAGTAACTGAGCACACACCCTCCCCAATGGTGGTTGTCGAGGGGAGCTTCCCTCTACAGAGAACTCCTCATTTAAATGCCTGGAGGCGGGGCATGGCATGGTCTCACAGGACAAACCTACGGACTGGCCACCTGGCAATCTGAGCTCTGGTCTTGTCACCTCCCTCTTGTTGGGGCATGAATCCCCTGCCTAGAGAATGAAGTGGCATGTCTACAATGGGGTTTTTCAATAGTTCTTCACGTTCCATTAGGATTTGTATGGGCACAGGTAAACATGCGCTGTAATTACTAGTTATGCATTTCTGTTTTAGTTACCTTTTATGTGTGGCACTGGTTTACCACTTATGGTAGTGATATGACATTTCCTTCCAAATAAATTTAAGTAAGTTTAAAAGTAATCAATTAAGTGATTAAGTACATAATCACAAAGGTGGTTGATGAATATGCCACAAACTATGAGGTATGCAAATGAGCAAGTATGGGCAGCAGTACATCAGCAGTTCTCAAAGTAAGATCTGGGGACCCCTGTGAACATATGAAACCCTTTCATAGGGTCTTCAAGGGTAAAACTGTTTTCATTAAAATACCAAAGGTCATCTGTCTTTTGTACCAAGTTGATATTTGCACTGATGGTGCAAAAACAAAACTGCTGGTGCCTCAGCACTGATCGAGGTACCAAACTAATATCTGTCACACTTTTCTTCACTGTCATGTGCTCATAGTATTAAAAAAGCAAAAAAAACCAAAAAAAATCTGGTTTCACTTAAGAATGCCCTTGATGAAGCAGTAAAAATTATTAATTTTATTAAATTTTGACACTTGTGTATTCTGTGTCATAAAAAAATACAGCACACATAAAGCATTTCTGTGGCATGCCAAAAGTAGAATGGTTATCTCGAGGAAAAGTACTTACACGACTGTTTGAGTTACCAAACTATCTGCTTTGTTCCATGAACACCATTTTTACTTGAAAGAATGACAGACAGACAAAGTAGCATTGCTCAGCCTTGCATATTTACAAGATATTTTCTCAAAATGAATGCAGCAAGCTTGGTGCTTCAAGAAAAATGACTGACAGTATTCTTTGCCAATGATAAAATGCAAGTTTTCTTTTTTTTGTCCTTTTTGAGACCGGCTGCACCGCGCTCAGCCAGTGAGCGCACCGGCCATCCCTATATAGGATCCGAACCCGCGGCGGGAGCGCTGCTGCGCTCCCAGCACTGCACTCTCCCGAGTGCGCCACGGGCTCGGCCCATAAAATGCAAGTTTTCAAGCAAAGCTTAAAATTTTAGAAAACTTATACATGCCAAGATGGGCCTGACAGCTTCCCCACATTTCGAGACTTTTCTGATGAGATTGATGGTGATATTTACAAATGTGAAGTTTTGATACTGTATGATGAAATGGGTCAACATTCGGAAGCTATGCAAACTCAGCGAACCAATATTTTCCAAGGAAGACACAAAATCATGCATTGGTAAAAGATCCATGCCAAGTACAAGAGATGCCAGCGGACTTTAATGTAACCGAGTATGAAGAGTGCATGGAGACGGTTTCAGAGTGCCCACTACAACCAACTTGTCAGAAACTGCCACTTGCTGAGTTTTGGTGTAATATCAAACAAGAATGCCTACAATTATCTGAAAAGGTACAACTACATACCTTTCTAACTAATATCTGTGTGAGGTCAGGTTTTCTTCACATTCATCAACTAAAATAACATATTGCAACAGAGTAAATGTAGCAGGAGATGTGAGAATCTGTGTGTTTTCTTTTTTTTCTTTTTTTGTTTTTTGTCTTTTTTCATGACCGGTAAGGGGATCACAACCCTTGATGCGGTGTCGCCCGCACTGCGCTCAGCCAGTGAGAGCACCGGCCATTCCCATATAGGATCCAAACCCGCGGCGGGAGCTCCGCTGCGCTCCCAGCGCCAGACTCTCCCAGCGCCGCACTCTCCCGAGTGAGCCACGGGGTCGGCCCTACAAGTACAATTTCTAAGTAGCCTCAATTTACAACCGAGGTACAGAGCTTCAAATCAAAATCCCACATTTATCTCAACTTTGTAGTTAAAAAGTTTGAGAACTGATGAACCAGATCATTCCAAGGGCCCATTCAGTGCTAAAAATGTCCATGGTTTCATTTATAGTTTCAGTCTCTTGCGCAACGTCTCCTCTACAGTTCCAAATTTTAGTAGAAGAATGTCTTTGAATTTGTCCTGAATCTGCTTCTTTTAGAGTCCCAGGAGTCTCTCCCATTCTATTACTCTCAGATTTGCTAGAGAGACTTATGCACTTATGGTGCTGCTATAGAACACATGGACACACGTGTATCTGCAACACAACCATGTCCCTGTCCCCTAGGTTTAATATGTTTATGCTATAGTTGTCTAACCAGACTGTAGGGACTTTAAGGGCAGGAACTGTGTTCTATAAAATACCAATAGGGCTGACTGGTTAGCTCAGCTGGTTAGAGCGCAGCTTTGTAACACTAAGGTCAAGGGTTTGGATCCCCATACTGGTCAGCCACCAAAAAAAAAAAAAGTGAATATAATAAACTAACAAACGTGACCAACACCTACCACGTGCTACCCCACTGTCTAAGCAGGCCCTGCCTTCCAGGAGCTTACAGTCTAGTCTACCAGGGGAGAAGGGAGCAACATGCGGATGAATAGTTTCCCTGGTGATGAAGGGAAGGAGCACTATCATTGGCAGGTTGCTCACTCTGTGCCAGGTACTGCATGCGTCATTCAGACATCCCACATGAAGATACCAAGTGTCTACCATTCAATCCTCTCAACAAGTCTGCCAGGTAGTACTGACACCACCATTTTCCAGAGGAGGAAATCAAGGCTGACAAAGGTGATATGACTTGCCCAGGGCCACAGTCAACAGACAGAGCTGTACTTTCTCCCTTTCACACCATGCAAGTGTCAAATGGGGGGCATAGGAGAAAAGGCACCAGAGTGCAGAGGAAGGAGTCATTACTTTGGGCTGAGATGGGGACATAGAAGCCTTCCTGAGGGAGGAGGCAATGTCCAATGTGAACCCCAGGAGGGAAGATTCTGAGCAGCTGGGGAAAGGTGGGGGAGGGACAGGGAGGTGTGCTCTAGCCCTGCTGGTCCTCCAGCATCCACACCATGTGGGCAGCCAGCACGGGGCCTGGCAGGGAGGGTCTCATGGGTTGCGAGCTCACCGACATGGCCAGGTGCAGCGGGGTGTTGCCGTGTTCACCATGGGCATCTGCGTTGGCCCCATAGGTCAGCAACACCATGACACAGTCGAAGCGGCTGCGCATCACGGCCACATGCAGGGCTGTGTTCCCCGTGGAGCTGGTACTGTTCACGTCGCAGCCCCGTTTCAGCAGCATGCGGGCCATCTGTGGGAAACAGGGTCCAGGCCAAGTCAGCACAGCCCCTGCACACTGCTACTTCTTCCACAAGAGCCCTACAGATATTGGGCCTCTGGAAAGCTCTAACAACAGGAAGAGTCCAGAGAGCAGGCCCCGCTTCTGGGGATGGCCTTAGACCCTGGTTCCCATATCATCAGCACCCCTAGAAATCAAGGACAAAAAGCCAGAGATGTGCTTTTTTAAGAAGATTCTGGTCCTTTCCTGGAGCTAATAGGGCCCCATCCTTCCCTGCAACGGCTCCTCTGGGCCCTGTCCCAGAAGTGCCCCACTTTCTGCAGCCCTCCCTGGCACCCTGCAAAGGAGTTATTCTCACTGGACCTTGGCAACCTACATCCCCGTTTACCCAGCAGCCCTGGAGAGCCTGGGACTGTGGAGAAGAGCCTGGGCTTTGGAGCCAGACAGACTTGAGCCCAAATCCCAGCCCACCTCATCCCAGCTGTCTGAGCTTGGACAGGTCTCTGCAGCCCTCTACAGCTTGATCTCCTCTTCTGCAAAAACAGGAATGCAAGTCCCTCCTCACAGCATGTGGTGACAAAGAATGACGAAACACACAAAATGGCCTGACTTGGTGTCTTGCTCCTGGTACACAGAGGTGCCGCACAGAGGTTGGCAGTCTCCTCCCTCCTGGCCCAGCACGTTCGGAGCAGGCCATGGCCTTTGGGGGCACCCAGGACACTGCCAAGTTGTGCTTCCTGGTGATGAGAGACTGGAGGCCTTCATCCTCCCAGGGGAACGGAGCTTGGCTTCAGGAAAGACCTCAGCAGAGGCGCCTAGGAGGCTCTCTGTGGTACAGCCAGAGCCAGCAGCAGCAGCAGCTTCACCTTCCTCTTCATTATCATCACACCTCCTTCTATCTCCACTTTACAATTTGTGCAGGATTTTATCACACACCACCTCGCTGACTTCACAGCACCTCCAAAGGCAGGCCGTAGAACCCCCAATTCATGGATGAGGAAACCGAGGCACAGAGGGGACACTGCCACCCAGCCAGTAGAGCAATCCCAGGATCTCAACTCTCCAGGGGCTTATCTGCCTGTGGGCCCACTATGAGATCAGCCCCCCAAATGCCATCCTCAGAGTCTCCCCAGGAATCTCCTTCCTGTAGGCACTGAGGAAAAGAGGGCTCTGGGACTCTGCCCCTTGGCAGCCCCTCTGCCCCACCGACTCTGCTTACCTCTGCAGTCTTGGCCCAGTGGAGGGGGCTGGCTCCGTAGCGAGGGTCTTTGCTATGGATCTGGTTGCTGTCCATGCTGATGATCATTTCAGCACATCTGGGGAAAGAGGAGCCAGGGGGCAGTGAGGAGGCTAGGGATCGGCCTGGTGCAGGATGAGGCCATGACCCGGGGCCTCATCAACCAGCTAGGGACAGTTTCACCTGCTAATAAAGTTGCAACAAAACCAAACAGCATACACTCTGTGGTATGTCAGTGGTGTAGTGAGCCCCTCAAGGCACATCTAACCCCCTCCTCTGGAAAGCCTTCCTGATGACTGCCACCAGCAATGATAACTCTCCCTGGTGCTGGCTTCACAGTTGGACAGACCTGAGGTCAAGCTCCAGCTTCCTCGCTGGTGACCTCTGGAAACTGAGCCCATCTGCAACATGGGAATAGTCCTAACAAGTGGTTAGGGATCAAAGGAGACAAAGCATTTCTAAGCCTGACTCACAGCCACCCTGCCCCCACCCCCTACCATCGTGAGTGTTTCACGCAGTGACCTGCATCCTGCAGGAAGCAGCATGGCAGAGTGGCTAAGAGTACACTTGCTCTCCACTCTTAGTTGTACAACCAAAGGACAGAAAGCAGCAACTCAAGCAGATATTTGCACACCTGTGCTCATAGCAGCATTATTCACAACAGCCAAAAGGTGGAAACAACCTTAGTGTCTATCTATGAATGAATGGATAAACAAAATGCGGCATATATACATAATGGAAGATTATTCTGCTTTAAAAGGGAGGGAAATTCTGATACATTTTATGATATGGAAGGAAATTCTGATCCATTTTACGACATTATGCTAAGTGAAATAAACCAGTCACAAAAGGACAAATACTGTGTGATTCCACTTGTATGAGGCACCTAGAATAGGCAAGTTCGTAGAGACAGAAAGTAGATTAGAGGTTACCAGGAACTTGGAAGAGGGGAGAATGGAGAGTTATTGATGGTTAGAGTTTGTGTTTGGGATGATAAAAAAGTTTTAAGAAATAGATAGTGGTAGTAGTCAGACACGTAATATAATTAATGCCACTGAATTGTACACTTAAAAATGGTTAACACTGCAAATTTTGTTACATATTTTACCACAATTTTTAAAAGTAATGTAATATACCAAAACCATTGAATTGTATATTTTAAATAGATGACTTGTATGGCATGTGAATTATATCTCAATAAAGCTGTTTTTTTTTTTTTTTGTCTTTTTCCGTGTCCGGCAACGGATCGCAACCCTCAGTGTTGCAGACAGAAAGTAGATTAGAGGTTACCAGGAACTTGGAAGAGGGGAGAATGGAGAGTTATTGATGGTTAGAGTTTGTGTTTGGGATGATAAAAAAGTTTTAAGAAATAGATAGTGGTAGTAGTCAGACACGTAATATAATTAATGCCACTGAATTGTACACTTAAAAATGGTTAACACTGCAAATTTTGTTACATATTTTACCACAATTTTTAAAAGTAATGTAATATACCAAAACCATTGAATTGTATATTTTAAATAGATGACTTGTATGGCATGTGAATTATATCTCAATAAAGCTGTTTTTTTTTTTTTTTGTCTTTTTCCGTGTCCGGCAACGGATCGCAACCCTCAGTGTTGCCCCCGTACCGGACCGGGGACCGGCAACGGGATCGCAACCCTCGGCGTTGCTCCCGCGCCTCGCTCAGCCAGCGAGTGGGAACCGGTCTGTATGTGGGATCCGAACCCTCGGGCGGGAGCGCCGCCGCGCTTCCCAAGCGGCACACTATCCAGTGCGCCACCGGGCCGGCCCCAATAAAGCTGTTTTTAAAAGAGTAATGTTACTAAGGATGGCCTGCGTTTAATTCTCAGCTCTGACACTTACTGCCTGACCTTGGACAAGTGATTCAATCTCTCTAAGCCTTGGTTTCCTCATCTTTACAATGGGGATAAGGGCTGGCCGGTTAGCTCAGTTGGTTAGAGTGCAGCCTTGTAACACCAAGGTCAAAGGTTCAGTTCCCCGTACCAGCCAGTTGCCAAAAAAAAAAGGAGGGGAGGGGTGGATAAAATACATCTGCACATTGGGTTGCTGCAAAATACCCATATGAAGGCTGAGTGTAGTGGCTGGAGAAGCATTAGTGCTCAACAATTCTCACCTGTTATTGTGGGGACCAGGACGTGTATGCCTCATCTCCCCACAGCCCTTATGCCAGGGCCAGGCACTCAGCACTAGGCCTGCTGACGTTAGCCCAACTTCCTCCCCTGGGCCCTCTGGGGCTTGCAGTGTTCACTCAGAGAAAGCCAAGGTGGCCCAAACTGCCAACTCTTGCTGGCTCAGGCTCTGCTCCCCTGGAAGCCTTCCCTGAGCGCTGCTGCCTGAGCGCCCTCCCTGAGCTCCTAGTGCAGCCCATCTGAGTTCTCCATCTCAGCCCCCACCTCACTGTCTGGGATCATCTGTCTCCCCTGCAGAACTGGTTGAGAGCTCTTCCACGGCAGGGATATAATCATCAGAGAGTCCCAGACACAAACCAGGCTCTGTGCGAAGGTCAGCTAAGTTGAAATAAACAGCAGGGGGGGCTCCAGGTCTGAGCTGTGACGGAACCACTGGTCAGTGACACTGACCACGTGCAATTCTTCGAGTAGGGCTGTGCAGGCTGTCTCGTGGAAAAGGGATCTCTCTACTGGGGACCACCCGAGCTATGTGAGATGCTCCCTTGGTCTTCTGTGCAAAGATCCTCCCGTGTGATCTGACACCTGACCTCACAGACAGCCTGGGTGGGGACACACAGGGAACAAGGCTGAGTGTGTTTGAGGAGAGAGCAAACTGGGAAATCACCAGGCTCCTGCACACAAACACATACGGTGGCAGAGCCAGGCAAGAGAAGGGCCACAAGCCAGCCCTTTGGGTACAGAAGAGCATCACCCATCACTTGGTATCCATGTAGATCACAGCCTGCAACTAGGTAACCTGACTACTGGGGGTGCTGGTATTTCTCTAATCATTTGGTCAAGTCTTTCTGAAAGTTCTAGTTCATGTTGGCATACTAGGGAGAACTGAGGAAAGGAGGGTTACTCTATGCTTGGCCTGGACCTTAGAAGGAACAGCAGTACCCTGTGGGGGCCAGCAAGGGGGCTGCAGACCCCAGAGGAAGGAAAATCCTGAGGGAAAGCAAGAGTGCCAGCCCCCCTGTGCTGCTCACTGCTGGTGCAGCACGCTGTACAGGGAGGTACTGGGTGACTTAGCTGTCTCCTGTCCTGGAGCTGCTTGGATCAGGGCTCATCTCTTATTCATTTCTATAAGGCTAACACTAAGCACAGTGCCCAGGACTGAGGCACCATTTGACTCATTCATTCATTGTAGCCATCGGTCCTGCTGGGTAGTATTTGGAAATGCTCATCTCTCCGACCCCGCTTCCCTCACACCCCCCCACCACACACACCCCACATGGAGAAGAATGTTCCTGAGACCAGGATTTCCCAGGTCTAGGGAGAAGGGAAGAAATAAGAGAGGGGTCTAGAGCTCCCTGACACATGGGCCTGGCACCTGCCTCCCACCAGCCAGAAAGGAAAGAGGCATCCAGGCAAACAGGGCCCTTGGCCACCTTGCCAGGCATTCCTGGGCTTTGAGCCGGGCACAAAAGACACTGCAGAGCACTGCTGCCATGAAGGGGGCTGTTCGGATCAGGTTTATGGGTTCGGGTGGAAGAGGACCCAGGTCGGGTGGTCACCTCCAAGCCTTGGGTTGCATCAGACCCCAGAACTGGAGTACCACCTGGGGGAGCTGGAACGGGGGTACCTCAGGGAGGACTAAGATTGTTTTTCTCCAGTTTGGTAGAGGGAAGGTCATGGTCAGAAATAAAGGTGCATTATAGAAAAATAAGAAAAGTTATAGTCCTTGCACAGCTGTGTTTGTGGACTGAGACTAACACCCACTACACAAGTAACCAGTACTTTCTTTGTGCCGGGCCAGCCGTTGGCACTAGCATCTGATATGTATCTAATGAGGCTTGTGCACCTGGGGCCTCTGCTCTGAGGCTGGGGGTGCTGAGATCCAAGAACACTGCTCACCTCAACTAAAGCCAGCTGATGCGAGAGCCGGAGGCCCCGCAGAGCAATGGGTTGGGGATGTGGAGGGAGGTCTTACCCCTTCTGGGAGAACTTCATGGCCGTGTGAATGGGGTAGCCGCTGGGCCCCATGATGTTGCAGCGAGCCTTGCACAGCAGCAGCACACGGACCATCTCCTGCTTCCCCATCTGGCAGGCCAGGTGCAGGGGGGTCAGCCCCTGGTTATTCATCTGGTTCAGGCCAGACGATGCATTCTTTCCTAGGAGCTGACAGCATGATATCAGGGGTGGGCCGCAGCCCAACACAGAGAAGGCGCCTGCAGGTACCATCCCTGACACCACCGTGGCCACCTCTCTCTGGGGACTAAAGGGCAATGGGAGTTTGCCTCCATGGGGACACTGATAAGAACTTAAAGAAGCAACAGGGAAAGGAGGCTTTGGGATAAATAAAGAAGCCAACTGCACCAATGTAGACTGAGAGGTATCGACCTGGCACAACTGCAGCTCATAGGAAAAATTTCTGAATCAAGAAACTTAAAAGGTGGTCATATCTGGGGATGGTACTGGGGGTCTAGGTGGAAGCGACTTTCACTTTTCATTGTATATCCTTCTGTCTTGTGTGAATTTTTTCTCTACGTGCAGGTATTATGTTTTCAGTACCTTTTCTTTCTTGGTACCATCATGTGATACAGTATTAAAAAGAGAGCTAGGAGGGTTTTATTTTCTTGCTTTTCTCTGAATCCTGTCCCCCTGAGGTTAATTACAACGTGGTGTACCTGTGTGACACCAGGGTCACCTCATAGCAGCCTGCTGGGCCAGTTGGCAGGCTGAGGACAGAGCAGGGAGAGCCAGGGGCTGACATCTAGGCCAGTGCAAGGTCCACCCATCCTCACAGCCCTGTGGCCTTCTATGGGCACATTTCCTAACTCCGCTGAACCTCAGTTTCTTCAGAGAGGAAAAGAGGATGACGACCTCCACCCTATAAGGGTATTTTGAGAATTAACTATAACATATACAAAACTCGGTCCAGGTCCAGGGCCAGGTACAAAGCAGCACTGGATAAAGGACAGCTGCTGCTGTACGTGACTATCGCTAACCGAGTGCCATGCCCTCCACAGCGAGGCAGCGGGTACGGGGCTCTCCGCAGATTCTCAGGAAGCACAGAGCTGAGCAGCGGTATGGAATTCCCTTCTCTGAGAGCACTAAGCAGATATGAATCCACATTTTCTGGAACAATGTAGTTCCATTCTAATGCAGAGTGCCATGCCCTCCACAGCGAGGCAGGGGGTACGGGGCTCTCCGCAGATTCTCAGGAAGCACAGAGCTGAGCAGCGGTATGGAATTCCCTTCCCTGAGAGCACTAAGCAGATATGAATCCACATTTTCTGGAACAATGTAGTTCCATTCTAATGCCAAGGCAGAGAGAAGGATGTAACCTTTAGAAGAATCTTCTAATTCTAGACAAAATATAATCTGATATTCTGCCTTTTCCTTTCAACCTAATATATAAAGTAGCTTTTTAATAACATCACTCCATCTATCTGCCCACAATTTAAAAAAAAATCTTTTTCACAGGCAATCAACAAAATAACACGAGTGCCTCTGGCACAAATGCCTATAGGAGCTGGAGAGGGTTTGGTTTGGTTTGATTTCCCATAAAAAGTTAAGCTGAGGTCCCACTGGACCAGGAGCCCCTCCAGGCAGAGGGCTGCCTCACAGTGGGAGCTCAGGAAAAGCTGAACTAAACTGATAGAATGGAACTGGGCCTTGAGTTCTGCCTGCCAGGTTGAAGGACTTCCCTGGGGTTGTCAGAGCAAAAAGGCCAAGGATGTGTGTCCTCGACAAGCTTCAGGAGGGAGGGATGGGGCAGGGTGTGCATCCTCCACGAAGAAGCTCAGGCCTTAAAGACCAACGGGGGACAGTGAGAGTCCTGGGAATGACACCTGAGCCAGGGGCCCCAAGAGAACTCTGGGCACAGACAGCTGTCATCAGTGCCAGTCTTCCTGCCCCTCCCCCACTCACCTGCAGCACCTGGGAATTGTCACCCTGGACAGCATAATGGAAGGCAGTCTCTCCCTTGTTGTCAGTGACGTCCATCTGGGCGTTGCAGTACTGTACCAGCTCCAGCAGGATTTCCCCGTCGCCCTTGCGGCAGGCCAGGTGCAGGGGAGTGCAGCCCTCCTCATTCTCCGTGCTATTGGCGCAGCTGCAGGGGAGGGCCGGGGAGGTGAGCAGGCATGGCCCCAGCGGGCAGGGGTGCCGAGAAACCCAAGCGCAGAAGCAGGGAAGCAAGCTGGGGAATTCGGACCTTAGGGTATATGTAAGCTCGAGAGCATTCATGACATGCTCAAGCTAGTTGGTTCAAACTTAGGGTTGATTCATAACTCATTTGCATCTGGTGTGATCAGCATCAGGTTTTGGTTGTCTTTACGCCTGTATGAGAGATGTGTTGCAGGGCCACACCAGCATGAAGTGGGCAGTGGGGTGGCACAGAAATGAGTGGCAGAAGGCAGAAATCTCACACCTCAGGCAATTCACTCAACCTCTCTAGGCTTCAATATCCTTGCCTACAACAGCTGCTGTGCCTGCCCTAGGAAATGGATGGAACTGTTGTGAGATTAGATACCAGAATGTCTGAGATCATGCCTGTAAACTGTAAAGTGCAATGAGGTTTTTGAGCTCTCGGCCTGGGAGCTGAACAGAGCTGTCTGGGTTGTGGAGAACCAGAGGAAGTATGGTCATCTCTGGGCTAGACGGCCAGCCAAGGTTCAGTGCAAGGGCAGGCACAGTGCCCTCACCAAGCGGCATCCACTGATATATCGGCTGAATGCACACACAGAAGTAGGTGTTCCAGCTTCTAGAAGGGCAACCAGATCTTTGGAAGAAGACACCAAGGATCTGAGCCCCTCTCCAGCCCTCTGCAGCTTGGCTGAATGCACACACAGAAGTAGGTGTTCCAGCTTCTAGAAAGGCAACCAGATCTTTGGAAGAAGACACCAAGGATCTGAGCCCCTCTCCAGCCCTCTGCAGCTGAGTGGCTTGCACAGGTCCTGTAAGCTCTCTTTGGGATGCTGATACTTCATTGGGGATCAGGAGGATTCACTGTCATGGTGGTTGTAAAACAGTTCCCATGGGCCTGGCACTTGATGAGCACTAGGAAGGGATAAGTTTCTCCTTCTGACATTGTAACACTCTTATGCTCTAACCCAGGAACAAGGCCACTTCTTTCCCAGTCAAACTATGGAGGGGAACTGAGGCAGCACCCACACTGGTCCACAAATGCAGGAACACACATTGTCCACATGCTCCTGTCCCCTGCCCACCTGATGACACGGCTGTGATGGAAGCACTCACGGATCCCCAACTCTACTGCCAAGTGGGCCACCGACCAACTGGGGTGGTTGCGTATGAGGTCGGTCAGGTGCTGCAGAGCCTCAGTGTGCAGGATCTGGAGGGAGCTCTCGTAGAAGGGCGGCAACTGGGAAGAATACTGCCGGAAGTTCAGCAGGGCGTCGGCCTCTGACTCCAGCTGGAAGAGTCTGTAGAGCCGGGATGGAGGAGGGAGGCACGGAAATGAGCCAGGTGGGACCCTTGGCCCACACCCTTGCTGCAATCAGAAGCCCCAGGCCCCCACAAACAGGTCACTGCCTGCCCCAGGTTGCACCTGACCTGCTTCAGCCTGACTCCCCTCTCCCAGCAAACACACACACATCTAAATGGAGTTTAGTTTGGACTTTTTTATTTGAAAAGATTTCCTTTTCTCTCTCTCTCCCTTCCTTCCTTCCTTTTCTTTCTTGGTACCATCATGTGATGCTTTTATATTTCATTTTACCAAAGCCCAGTCACATCCACTTTCTAATTTGGTTGTTACATCTGACAGCCCCAGCCTCAAATCCTTGGCCCCTTGTATATAGTAGGAACTGCATAAGTGTTATTTACCTAAATGTCCAGCAATAGAATATTATATAAACTGTGGTACATCTATGTGATGGAATATTATGTAGCCATTAAAATGAGATACTGAGGGTGGTAGCGGCGGTGGCGGCGGCCTGGGAGGTTCACAGTAAGGAGAATGTAAAACAGGGAAATAATTAAATATTTTTACTGAGGTAAATACCTAGGAGTGGGATGGATGAATCATATGGGTAATGAATACCGTGATAGACGCAAACAAGAGTGTGAAGGAAATGCACAGAGTGGTGCTTAGCTTGGAGGACTGAGAGAAGGGGGCCTCCCTGGACAAGCTGGTGCCTGAGCTTAGATAATTGAGCGTTCCAGTCAAGACGGCAGAATAGATGGTTCCCAGCATCACTCTCTCCCACAAATCAACCAATTTACAACGATAAAAATGTAACATCTGCCAAGCTGGGGCTGCTGGAGCTCAGGGGAAGAGGAGGAGAGACCTACAGAGTTCATGAAGGCGGGAGAAACCATGATGAGAGAAAGAAAAAGCTGCTCTGAGCGTTTTGGGCCGCGGCTGCTTTCAGGCTAGGCCTGCTGAGCACATGGAGCAGGAGCCGGCAGAAGCCGCGGCTGTGCCCTTCAGATGGAGTTACTTGGAGGAGGCAGGAGAGAAGAGGACCTTGGTGGCCCCCAGAACAGCACGATCACTAATAGGGTTCCCATGGAACCATGCAGGAGCAAGGAGCCAGAACAACTGAAAAAAGGGAGCCATTCAGAGGCTGGTGAGTCATCGCAAGGGACCAGTGCAGGGCCCATCCCATGGGAAGTGTTTGGAGCATGGGTGGTGGGCGACACGGGAACACCGGGAGAACACTGGGACACAGCAAGGACAGCCGACCTGCCCCCAATCAGCGCAGGACCACTCAGAGGAGAATGGGTTGGGAACGCAGAATTGCACGGGGTGTAGTCTGATGAAAAAACTCAGGCCCAGATCAGAGATTCTACAGAACACAGATCCACCGAGTCTCTGG